ATTCTGGGAGGTACTCTGAACAGTAGTGATGTACACATGTAATGTATATATGTATATATATATATATGAATATGATTATATATGATTTTATGATTTATATATTATTATATATAATGATTATTTATCCATTTCCATTGATTGGTATTTCCATTCATCACCATTACCATGTCGACAATTAGGGCTCCAGAAGCCTTCGAATCTGGTTCAACAGCTGAGTTGGGAGTCCTCTCCCGGCGGTTTGGGACAGCATTTGGGGACATGTTTGAGCAGTTGCAAATGTATTTGTTCAAATACAGAAAACACATATAAATATACAATCACGCAAGAATATCTAACAACTGAAGTAAAAGAACATCAACATCATATATTTCGATATTGAATTCAGAGGGGCCTAGGCGCAGATCAATCCCACCAAGTAGATCAGGTAAATCCATGGTGAATCAATATAGCATCACCAGATGAGCTCTGCTACGAGAATTCGCACTGATCCACCCCCATCTCGTCCTGGGCATGCGAGAAGGGCCTCAACACACGCGCGGCCTCACTGAAGGGCCTCACTGAAGGGCCTCACCAACAGGACTTTACGTGAGTTGCAGTGACCATTGGAGGACGCCTGTTCTGAAGCATGGACTTGATGAATGTTTGGCCTTTGGTTGCCTTTGGTGCTTTAGATGTTGGGGCTGAAAACAACCTCTTCGAAGTGAGTAGAGGCCCACCTGATGGGGCAGGGCAGTAGATCCTCCCATCTGTGAAGGGGTCGATCCACATCGACGCCGAACGGCCTGCCGGGCCGAAGCCTGACCAGTCCTTAGTTAGGAGGGAATGAGCACGGGCCCTACTTAGATACTCCTGGCTCGATCCAATTCCCTCATTTCCCTTCCAAGCAGTCACCCAGTGTTGGGTGCTGTTTCGCGGGCCGAACCGAACCTCAAGGGTTTTGGTTCCGGTCCGCGAAGAGACGAGCGGGCTCACTTGGACCGCTTGGCCGAAGAAAAGAACAATGCGGCACGTGGCGCGGTTTGGCGGTTGGGCGGTTTCTGGCATCCTCCCAGGTTTGGCTTCTAAGCCAAACATCGCCAAAGGACTTTCAGAAGGAATCGCTACATAACACGGGCATTACTACTAATTAGGCTAGAAGCTACTATAGTAGGTTGGAGGCCATTATTACTATAGCATGAAGCTAACAGAGTATTTCTGTGGAATTCGTTTGGCTTCTGAACCTCCACGGCCCCTCAGCCTTCGCGACCGGCCGCGACCGGCCGCGACCGGCCCACGGGTGCCCGCCTCCTCTGGGCCGCTCGTTGAGGGGTGATGGGAAGAGGTTGGGTGCCGTTGAGAGTGATAGATGAAGTGATCTTGTTTCTAATAGCAAACATTGTTACTACTAGTAAGGCACTTGTTACTAGTATAGTGATGCACTTGTTCCTAGTAGCTTCTTGTTACTAAGTGTTTCCTTCGGATGATCCCTCTGGATCTGAAAGGATCAGACGACGCTGAAAGGATCTGAAGCTGCAGATCGATCCCCTGTCGACGTGTCTCCGAAGGATTCGGGCCTAACATGACCAGCGGTGATGTTCAATTTCAGCCCTACCGCCCATACCGCGCACGGTTTCACCCGTTTTTCCATCCCCAAGGGCCCAGACCCAAGAACCAGGCGGCCTTTGCACCGGATCCCAAACTTCAAATGGTGGACTTCCCAAGACCTGTTCTATCAACGAAATTCTCGGTCAACTTCACCCACCAATGCTCCCATTCCCAGACACTCCTTTAGATCTTTTGTATCCTTGAGTAGATATGATGTGAAATCTGCGGGTAGCAACAGGTTTGATACAATGCCAATCCCATGAGTCGCGTGATGAAAACGACCCTCCGTCTCCTCTCATCTATCGTGGGGCTAGGGCCGCACCTTCATTTGACCGTAAAGTCCCGAGGCGGTCGGAGCTGACAAGACGCCGGGAGCGCCTGACCCGAGCTCCGCTGTGGACACGAAGACTGAGCATTTTTGGCCACTGGACATAGAAGTCCAAGACCATTTGAAACGGTCTTTAGGCGATCCGAAAAGGAACTTCCTTTACTTGGGTGGTGCCGAAAATAGTCTTTGGACTTCTAGGGTATATACAGTGGTTTCAGAGGCTCGATAGTGGTTTCAATTGCACTAAGGATCCGCCCTTTCTTTCTCATGGCTTCCTGGAGTGGAAGCCTCCCGTTTTGCTCACCCGAAGCAGTGAAGGCCATGCCATCCGCGTAACCATGAGGATTCCAGGGAGTGTAGCTTGTGGGAAGTAGCTGACCCAGTGAGTGGGTTTGATCAAACCACGTGGAGCTCGGCTGAGCTGCTCAGCGTGTGGAATAGACCTTAGTTGGCCAACACTACTTACTCGAACGCGTCACTGAGACGGGAAGAGGCTGTATGGATTTGTATGGCCTCTCTCTAAGCTACCACACAAGAGTCGAGGTTAAAGGATGAACTTTCTGGAAAGTACTGTACTAGTACTGGTGCCCTATCCAATCACCACGACCATCCTCATGTGTGTTTAGCACCGCAGACACCGCTGTCTGGTCGACAGACATTCGATGAGTGCCGTTGAGGGGTATCTCTCAAGGTATCTCAATGCACTTCAACTTCGCTTAGCCGGCTTAGCCACCGAAGCTTCGCGGTTTGTCAGGTCGCTCCGCCCCCCATGGCGAGCGCGCTGGCGCCACTGGCGCCCAGCGCCGGCGGCGCGCCAGCGGACCGGGTGGTAGTGGAGGGGCGGTCGAGTCATTCCACCAAAAGTGGTTTCAGAGTAGATGGCGCAAACCCCAAGATGTCCTTGAGATGGGGGTCCATATAAGCCACCTTTTGGGGTTTGTGCCATCTACTCTGAAACCACTGTAAGTGGTTATAGTGGGATGGCCAATTCCCACTGTTATTCCAATTAGCTATATAATATAGTGTTTCACGACCCTTTATAGTGGTTATGGTGTTTCACTGTGCTGTTGGTGGTTAACCCCTGGACACGACCTGCTCAAATCGTAGGACCTCTGATTTTCCCGGGTCTTTTCGATTCAGGATACTCCAACACCCATGTGGCTGTGGGTCGGTCTCCCAGGTCACGGTTGATGGTGGTCATGGATGGTCAATACCTGATGGACTGGTGGAGTGAACATGGTGGGTCACGACACATCCTCATGTACTTGAGTCTATGGGCGGTTGAGGTTTTTGCTGTGGAGGGTCACTCTAGGGTCACTCGAGGAACTTTGCTGTGGAGGCTGTGCGTCCTCCGAGTTGCTGTAGGTCACTCCGGAATTCGTTCGCACCAGAGCGATGTGAGGTGCCAGAGCGATGGAAAAAACGAGCCGTACACAGAGCCTGTTTCAGGGGTCGGTCGTGGTCCTGCCATGTCCTGCTCCAATGCCAGTCATGTCCGCAAGAGACCAAAACACAAGAAACACCCATGAGTCCCAAGCGCCAAAGACTGTCAGGGCCACACTTTTGATCCCTTTCCTGGCCATACTGTCAGGCCTTGCATTCCGAATCCTGGCGAGTCTTTCCTCCATGGCGTGTGCGCTCCGCGACCGGCTGGGCTCCGGTTCGCCGGTCCTGTCCCGCTCGACCACCGTGCGGTGCCACAGGACTTCCATGCTTTAGCCGGGGGGGCCCCGGGCCGGTGTCGGGCTTCGGGTCGTCCATGGCTTCGGGGCGTCCGGCTGAGGGAGAGATTGGATGGGTACATCGAGGTGCAGCATGTTTCGAAGGGTGCCAACGGGTATCATGGGACTTCATGGGACTTCATGGCACTTCATGGGACCATAGGTGGGTACATGTATATATATATATATATACACATCACAATGGCTTGAATGAACATGAAGAACTATGCCCGTTCCGCTGCAAGTGTTCGTTCGTTTTCGGCCAGAGATCTATGGGGTCCTATTTTGAGACAGCCCCCCGTATGTAGCATATGATAACTAAAGTCCTTTAAGGTGGCCCGTATGTAGCCGTTTTGGCTGCTGGGTCCGTGCTGGAACGTGGGATGTGACTACTATACCGAAAGTGACTTCCCATTCGTCCGAACGTCCTGTTCTTCTCTTAGACAGCTGCTCTAGTCGAATGGGTGTATGTGGGTGTATTTTTGGGTGGGTATCAGGGTATCATAGACCCAGCTCACCAGGGATCTCAGCATTTGGAGGGGAGCTCCCGAACCTATTCATATCTATTCAATCCACAGGGATCCACGAGAAACGATGGGGGGACACGAATGGAAACCCACGCCGACCGGCTTCCTGTCGTTCGCGTGGCAGAAATCCTCAGAAAAAAGCACCCGGTTCCAAACTCTCCATCCTCTGCTTCGTTCAACCATTGGATCTCATGCGGTTTGTTTGTGTGTGTGTGTGTGCGTGTATGGCGGTTGGTGATCCCGCTGAGGTGCTGTCCTGCAACCGGGATGGCATGGAAGCCTTACGGAAAGGCCAATCCAAAGCGGCCCGGGGCCTTGGACGGTCCGGCAGGTGATGTGATGGATAGACTTACGGTCGTTCGACCCAGGGTGACCTATATGGGGATAGTCATGGATAGTCTATACCAGCACCCGACTCTACAGGTCACCACCCGCGACTTTAAAGTCTCCAAAAGCCACCAGAGGAGACCTGTTGGAGGGTCCTGGTATATGTATATTATACTATAGGGCTCTGAAGAGCCTGGTAGAAGAATGGACGGTCATGGACCGTGTTCCATGATGTTCTGGTAAAGACCGCCCGGCTGTCAACCAGGGACTATGGCTCTTGATAGGACCTTCGACCACACCTGTTGAGAGATTCCAGTGGAGTGCCAGCAGTTTGCTTTGGCCGCAGTTTCCTGGAAACTTGGCTCTCATTTTTGCCCTCTCAGTCCGACTGTCGGTTGAGGCCTTTGAGCAGTTCAAATATGCGGAAGCCATCCTCATCGCCAACCAAGCAGAAAGTTGGGAGCTGAGATGGCTCATGCATAGTTCAAAGATGGGACGGGTTTCACATCTGCGAACGACGAAGGGAAGGGGAATTATGCAGAATGCACTGAATCGGATTGAATCCGGTGTCCAGGAGCTTCGCCGGGTTGAGAGCAACATCCGGTTCCAGGTTGACAGGGTTACCACGGAACCGTGGGAGGTTTCCACTTCGGTGGGTTGCTGCGACTGCGGGTTTGGCACCGAGCCCGAGCCAGTCTTGGACGGTCCGAAGTGTCTGTTCGTCTCTCGTTGCGGGCAACTCACCGACACCTTGGGGAAATTCACCTCACCTATATACCTGCTATGCTGTGGCAGTTAAAGCTAGCTGGGAGATCAGGACTGAACATCCATTCATCAGAACTGCCCCCTGGAAAATTGGAACCTGAGTTGTTTGCAGGTCGGACCGTCATCAAACCCAGGGTGGACTTTCAAGATTTTACATGATTTCACGTGGCTGCATTCTACTCGGCAGTTGGCTGGAGTGAAGCATGTGCAATGGTGGGAAAAGAGTCACTGTATATCTAGGCTACTTCTAGGCTAATTGTAGCCATGGGCCATAAGCCATCTGGCAGACTTTCCTAGTCATACACTATGGTTGTGGTTTCTTCTTTTCGTAGTCAAACACCATCAAACTGTCCTGTAAGGGTCCATTTGGGGCCAGCTCATGGCCCCCCCAAATGCCCCGGATGCCGCCTATAGGTGGAACGAGCCTAGCAGCTGCAGGGGTGCCCAGGATGGATCAGGATCTTCGCCGCTGGATGACCACACCTGGCTGAGAATGGCTGGCTGAGGAAGTGAGCCCACTTGCTCACAATAGCACACCCAGGCCACAATGGGTGTTTAATGGAGCTCCCCAAGCAGTGTAGGCTAGTCCATTGGACACCCCTTGAATGGTGCAGGTATGTTCAACCAACCAATTAAAGCATTCTATCATTTTACACTCCCTTTGCTTTGGTCTTGTCCGATCACAAGACTCCATTAAAACAGGGTCCAGCCTTTCCAACAACACTGGCTGAGGTGACCTGCAACAACCTCGGGTGCTACTACAAGAAGGTCACGCCGTGCTTGAGTGGTCTGACATATTATCTACAAATGAACCATTTTTGTCAATGACCAAGCAGCCCTGCATGTGAGTAGACTTCCTGGTCATGATCACCATGCTCTACGCGGTCTACGGCGTTTGTGTTCCGTCTATGCGCCAGTGTGCGGGTTCAAATCCATTTCGCTGTCATTTTGTCTTGTCATTTTGGCTTCTTTGGGACTTCGGGTGACCACTCCAAACAGGTGGGCCACATAGGCCACATAGGTTTCAGGGGGGTTTCCTCTCAACTCACGTCTTTGGGTGTGTTTAATAGGGGAAACCATCTGTCAGGTGGGGAAGCTCCATGGGGCTTTGAGCTACTTGCGAAGAGCCCTGCAGATGGAGGCGCTGTGCGCGGTGTCCGCGCCGTGATCACGCCTTGGAGCCCAGGGGTTCTCTTCACAGCGCCAGGCCGCCATCGGATGGCGCGAACTGGTTGTTCTTTTCAATGCCGACTCCCAACAGCTTCCAAAGGAAAGAGTCGCGGAGATATATGTCATATAATCGATGAAGCAACAAGTCTGTGACATTCAGTGACTATAGTCCGGAGTAGGACTTACAAAAGGGTTGATACCGATACCAATGACGCTTCAGGTGCCTTAGTCCTGGGATTTGGCACCCTCTTGCTTGGCGCCAGCTTCATTTCGTTGGGCTTCACCAGGTGGATCTGGGCACCGACGAGGTCACCTTGGCAGGTCACGTGGGCCGTGTCCAAACGGCGACCCTTGTGGACGGGTGACGAAAGCCGCTAGCACGGGGGGCTTCGTGGTTCGAGCCACAAAGCCGCGAAGCCAAGGGATGTGGTTCGAACGGTTCTTGGTGTGGACCCGAAATTGCAGAGGGTTGCCAGAGAGGAAACGTGCGGAAGGAGCTGGTGGTGATTGTCATTGGTTGGGATTCAATCGATATCCGAGCGAACAATGGTTTGTGGACAACTGAATTCAACAAATTACAGTGGCGGGTAAACAATTGAACCGAGGCAGGCTCAATATTGACCCAATGATGATGAAGTGTTCCGAAGTTTCCTCTACCATCTCTACCATCATTTGCATACACTTATCGACTTATCGGAGGATGAAAACACCAACGCCCTATAGCTGGCCCACAAGGCACAAACCTCAACATTTGTGCCATCCTTTCGAAGCTCGAGAAGCATGACAAGGCGCGAGCCATGGCAGGCACTGGAGATGACTCGGGAGAAATGAGAAAGGATGCAATGGCGAAGGGGGTTGGTGTTTGGGGAGAGGCTTGCCGGGCATTTTCAAGGAATGCTTGATGCGAAGCCAAGCATGAGTCAAAATATATAGCCCAAGTGTTTTTTCCATTCCAAACAATCCTAAGTATCCACCACCCCAGTGGTCAATCGTCCGTCCTGTCTCGGTTTCCAGCTTGGGACACCATCCAGGCCGTCCAGCATGCGCTTGCGGCATTGGAGCTGATCGACAGGCTCTAAACTATAGCGGAAAACGCCCTTTGACAGGGGAGGAGTTCATGGGAAAACAGGGAGGCATGCCATGCACTGCCCATGCCATTTGTCGATGGCTTCCATGTTCGGGCCGCCCTTTCCTGTGTCCAGTGTGCTCAGTGGGTAGACGCATCTTCCCACCATGAGCAATCCCAAGTGGGACAGGGTGTTTTCCCTCAACAGTATCAGTAATACATCCGCCACGGAACATCATGTGGATCGCCAGGAAGACTAGCAGCTCAGATCCTGCAACGATCCCAGCTGCGGGGAATCTCAAGTTGTCGTTTTGTTGCTGACGTGAGCGATTGATGATTATAATCACCTGTTTGCATGGACTGAGTATGGAATCTTGATGAATTTTGTGCAATCGTTCGTGTTTGTGGAATTACCAGCAGAATGTGAGTTCTTGACTTTCCTTTGAAGGTATATGTATAGTTATAAGTCATGGGTTCTTGGTTTCACACCAATAGAAGTCCAGCACAAGGGGACCAGCACGGACTTCAACTCCAAACCTCTTGGGCCGGTGAACCACTTCAGGATGACTACGCCGTCCTCGCGATCGCGCTGCTCGGACTCAGTGGAGCGGGAGAGACGGTGAAGAGCTGGGGGCGGGTGGGCCGCTAAGATGGACGACGAGGACTCAGGTTTTGGACGAAATGGGAAGCACTGTCCGATTGCAAAAGGAAGGCCGAAATGAAGCAGCAGTTCCATTGGGAGTTGGGTGCCTTCAGGAAGGAATGCTCCGGGCCGTCCGGGCCGTGGGTGCCGATCTTCCCGACCACTTGGGGGTCTTTGGAGACCACCCCTTTGGAACTTGTGGAAATTTCAGTTTTGCAAAGGGTTTTGGAGAAGACATCTCCACCCACAACTGCACGTGAACTGCATGGGCCGGGTCGGTCGGTCTGGGCTGCTCAGGTACCACAATGTGGCGATTGAGCGGGATTTGCTGCATCAGTACGACAAGGCCCGCCGACTGTCCCATGACTGTCATGGGGGTGTTGACTCCAATCTATATAGTTGAATTGATCGCCTCCTCAACCTCATCCTCATCCTCATCCTCATCCTCATCAACTGCTGTACTTGGAGTGCCCAAGTTTTGACGTTGAGCTACGTAATTTGATGCAATTTTAGTCATTTTCATTTACGGAGGAGCTACGTGAATACTGGAACCCCTATCCTCCATGAAGCACCTCTTTGGAATTGCGGCTTTGGTCCCACTTTTTCGGCTCCAACCGTCTCTTGTCCTTGTCCTCTCGCTCACCCTCATGTCTTTTTCATCCTCACACTTGCCCCACATCTCACTGAAGCGCGAGAGTGAACCAATGTACTAGTATCATCTAGTATCATCCTTGCTCGTTCTTGCATCTTCATCCAACCTTGTGTCCGCCACGGTACCACCTTCAGCTGCAGTGCAATATGGTGCAACACTGCTGACTGTTGCCTTCCTGTCCTGTGCTGCTGAACCACGCTGAACCCAAACGAGAGATACCAGTATTCCAGGGCAGCTGGTACAGGGCGCTGTTCCTGATGTTCCTGCGACTTGTTGTCAGATCCATTTCAATCCAGCTTGACTCCGCTCATCCTCATCCGCCATCATGCGCCCAGTTGCACACTAGGACCATTTGTTTGGGGTGTCCTTTCTGGACTACATGGATTGGACACGAGAGAGGACACGCAGACAGGATGGTCCAGGTATGTGTTTGCATGTATTTTACAACTATATATTTACCAATCAAAAGTACCCCATGGGATGGAACCAAAATTCTAGTTGACCCATATTCATATGCCAGCCATGTATTTTGGGATTGGATCCAGTTTGTTTTTCACCCTCTTCCTCCAGGCCTTCCAGACCAACCAACCGCGCCGAAGCGGGCGCGCCTCGCCTCGGAGCCACTGCTCACACCGAGGCGGCGGCGGCCTTCCATCAGGGCTTCGAGGTGGCCAAGCGCTGCCTGGGAGAGGCGGCTTGAGGGGGCTTCGTTCCGTTCGGTGGCGGAGGGTGGAGGTGGAGGTGCAACGCAGCATGCGGTTGGCTCCGAGAATGCGCTAAAGATGCCACAACCTGGTTGGGGGGAATGTGGCCCAAAATGCCCCAAAAGATGCTGGCTGGTTCATGATCTAGTTGGAGATGGTTTGGTGATTGGTGGTTGGTTTGGTGAGCGCGTTTGGGACCAAAGGAGTTGGCTCTTTCTGTTTGGTGGTGAGTGAGACTTTAGACGATCGAGTGTCCGAGTGTGAATGAATGAGCGAACAAACATCTCAACCATTCTATAGACTATAACTAGTAAGCGTACTATAACTCTAATTTATGTAGCAATGTCGCTATAATGTAGCTATACCAAATGTGAGTCACAAGCCTCATCTAACCAAACATACTTTGGCAGGCATTTCACTTGCTGAGTGCTGCACTGCTGGAACTTTCTTCTTCCCGCCACCTCTCCGCAGGATCACCCACTGTCCGTGACCTTGGGCAAGAATGCGGAAGCGGTGCTCCTGAAGTCACAAAAGTGGGAAGACCCAGACCCACCCAGGGGGGGCTTGAGGTTGAACGTGGGGTTTGTTTTCAGAGTGGATGGGCTGGGGAAGATGTATTGAAGATGGTGCCAGCGGGTTGTTCGAATGAAGGAAGAGGCTCTGAGCACTGAGTACTTGCTGCAGGTGTTGAGACAGGTTTTCCATAGTTGGGAGTGACACTGACGATCCCCCATTTCTTTGGGCAGGGCTAGCCTTGCAACTAGCGCCGTAGACGAAGAGAAAAGGGTTCACTCCCATCTACGAAGCGAACCAGCTCTGTGGGGACCAACACAGCCAAATCTGATTTAGGACCTGATTTTAGATTGCTGCAAGCACCCTTTTCAATCCTTTTCACACATCCTTTCTCCCGGAACCGCTGCATCCACTCTTCACACCGCCGGCGCCGCCCGGGGGCATCCCGGCGCCTCAGGATGACCAAAGGGAACCCCGACACGGCCACCATGCGGAAGCCGGTGCAGGACCTGGACCGGTGCAGGAAATGCATGGATGGTGAAGGTGCAGGAACATCCAAGACATTTTGGATTTATATATATATATATTATATATATATATATACACCTCTTGTTACTAGTAGTGAGGCCAGGAGCCCTGTTCGTAGCGTCCGATCGCTCCTAGTAGCGATGCCAGGAGCCCCTAGTAGCGAACAATATAGATTTATGGTATGGATAATAAGATTAAAACCCATCACACGTGTTTTTAAACAGACCATACATACCCAATTCTCCATTTCTTCATCAATTTTTCCCCATCCTTGGACCCGACACCTTCGGACCCGACACCTTCACAGGGGTTTGGACCCCTCAAGGAACATATCAAAAAGCCTAAAATCCATGGGTCCGGGCCCGGATTCTGAGGAACATTCCAAAATCCTACCTTGGAGTCCTTAGATCCTATAGATACTATAGATAGAGGCCTGGTCCGCCATGGGACCAATGGTGTGTCTGAACTTGGAATTTTCACCCCTTTTCGAACCAAAGCTGTCTTTCTTGGGATAGGGGTGCTGATCCGCAACAGAACTTGGCGTTCCCTCACGAGAGGGTGCTGATCCCCCCGCAGGGTGTCAAGTTCTGTCAAACCCAGACGTCACCCGAGTGGTGAAATCTGTCGAGATCGGTGAAGAAGCTGAGCCTCGGGCCCCTTGGGCCAGAACGCCCGCTGGGCGGACCTGGCTGGTGGGACCGCCGAAGCTGATGGTTTCGTTGCCGGCAGGTCCCAGGCACCCTCTGGGACCTTCGAGGCTCTTCCCCTGATCAAGTTTAACATCAGATTTAGCGATAAGAACTACTTACTTCCATAAGAACACAACGTTTTCCTCCAGGCGAACTCGTGCCATCTGCTGGGCTCTCCTTTCTTTCGATTTTTCGGCGCTTAGGACATGGAACTGCACCGCTTCACCGCCGGGTTGACGGAGAGCACCACGCCCTCACTGTGGCCCGGCCGAATGGGCGTGGTGAGCGACCACCCTCACCCTGCCAGGCGGCCATGCTTGGCTGGTGGGGGGCGGTGAGAAGGGTTTTTGCAGATTCTTTCTTTTTGGGGGGGGCCCAAAGGTTCACCAGCGCGCCGAAGTCTCGTGGGGATGACTCCCAATGGTAATCTATAGCTTTGTAAATCTGTTCGGAATGAATGACGGTTTATACAATATGATCATGACAACAAGATGCTATAAGCAATGAAACCATTTTTTAAAGAGTGTGTCGTGTGACCCCCCTATTCAGGCTCACCCAAACCTCTTATATAAATTCAATTACCAGTGGGTTTCAGAGGCTCGATGGGAACTGGCACCCCCCCGATGTCATCGGAGTCATCGGAGTCCATATAAATCAATCCAAAATCGGGGTCACTTGTGCCATCTACTTTTGACCCGTGCCAAGGCCTGCCGTGGCCTCTGCCCAGGCAGAAACGGATCAGCCGGAGGCGCAGGGTGACACTGCCTGGGTGTTTTTTCGGGGGGGTGACACTGCTTGAATCATTTTCGGAAGGCCATGCTTGCGTTTTGTAGTAGTAACTCAACATGGCCTTGCTTTCGGGAGTTCAATGTTTCAAGCGATCAGGTTACTGTAGCCCCGAACGGAAGAACCTACGCTTGAAAAAAGTCTTCAATGAACAAGTGGGTAGGTCAACCTTTCTTCTCCTGGGAAGCTGAAAAAGAACACAGATCTAGTTTGTGTGTTACCAATGAACTGTAACAGTCATTTAAAGGTCTATTACATAACTCTATATACTGTAAAGTGAAATACCCAAGATCTAGTCATCTAAACAAGTGACCTGGAGGTGAGGTGACCGCTGTTCCACCCACAGTTCACCCGGCGCTCGCAGAGTGGGTGCCGATCGGTGAACCAATGCCCGAGTCGTGCCCGGCAGTCACATCCACTCACTGACCTTGGGGTCTCTTAGGGTCTCCAGCTGAGCCCTCCGACCTTGGACGTCTCGCGGGACGTCCGGATGTCCCTCTCGCTTCCGTTGGTCCGTCTCACGTTGGGCCGGTGGAGGATCCACAGATGTCGCAGCGGACGGTGCGGCAAGATGCTGCCGAGTGGGTCCAGAGCGAGGAACCCGCTGGGCCCCGCTGGGCCGTCGCGTTTTTCGCCGGCGGTTTTGGTTGGTTGGAGAAGTTTGAACCCTCAAAAAGGCTGGGGAGAGTGAGATGTTTTGGGGTGCGTTGCGTTATGTGAAGGGGGATTTCTTTTGGGGAAGTCACCTGTTTTCGCCACGTGGGGAAATGGGAAATGCGCAGTGTCTCTTGGGTCTTAAGTGGCCCGAAGGACTGACGGAAGGAGTGACCAGCAGAGGAAAAGCCCATGGTCGCATGCCTACCTCCAAGGATGCCTGCTTGAATATCCTAAGTCCCCCTGTGAGATACCAGGTACCTGCGGTGAATGAGCTTCCGGGATCAGTCACTCCACACAGGCAAGGTCAGGTTTCGTTTCTGAGTCCAAAGCGGAGGGGGGTTCCAACGGCGAAAGATCTAGGAGCTGGGAGAGAAGTGACGATCAAGTGGCGAACGCAGCTAGCGAGAAGAGTTTTATTTCGATGTATTTCGATGTACTTTATGTGGAAGGAAGTCTATGACTTTGTTGTACTCGGTCTCCAGACATTTCCTGAGGAAGTTCTTCATCAATTTGGTCCTCTCCGCAGGAGTCCGCTTGGAACAGCTTTGCCAAGAACACCCTCACCGAGGCGGTGGCCGATCTGAAAGAGTCCAGCTGCTGTCCACCAACTCCTAAAGGTTGGCTGATGAAATCAGCGAAGGCCGCCCCCCCAAGCCATTTGCTGTCCACTCTGACATCTCCGTTCCATGGAAGCGGGTTTGCTGCACCACTCTGACCTTGTGATGTGTTCGTTCCTCTGTGTAGCGCCCCCCCAAGCCATTTGCTTGACCTGTTTGGATGCTATCCTTGAGATGAGGCTGGGGCTGGACTGCTCGTCTTTGTTGCAACGGTCGGAGACAGAATGTCAGAGGGTTGAACATATGGATTGGATGGAGTAACCTGCCACCTGGGGCAAGGTTAGTGGGGCCTTGCTCGGGATATCTTGAGATAGTTTGATCTCTTGCTTCGGATAGTTCATGCCCAGATCTCCTGAGTTTCCACACACACATGAGGTCATCTGATGATGAGGGACACATCATGATTCATCATGGTTCCCAGTGGGTCCACTTGAACCAGTTTAACCGCTTTAGTAACGCACCACTAAAAAACCAGTGCTTTGACTAAACACGAACTGTTTGCACTCGAAAAGGGCGCTGTTAAGGCCGTGGAACACCCATCGAAATGAAGTCCTGAAAGTTGCCAGGTGACATGCATCCTTGACCCCAACGCACCCGTTTGCCCTGTCCTTTGAACTCAGTTGATCAATTTGGAGATGGTTGTCCTTAGGACGATGGGCAAAGTGGCTTGGCCAAACGGGTGAGGGTTTACCGTCTGTCCATCCTGCCAAGCCACTGACATTCTATCTATCATAGTGCCAACGATCCCTAGATTCACGAGCACCAGACATGACTGACCCTAGACCAACCGCTCGTGGCTCGCCATCTCAAGCTTGCTGAGTGAAATATGTGAAAGCAAATGACTGCTGAAACTGAACTGAAGCAGGAGAGAAGAACACCCAGACCCTGAAGGCAGCTTGAAGTTGCAGGGTGCAGAGTCTGGCCCTTGCAACCATGGAAGCTGATTCCCGAGTCTGAAGCCATCCATGGTTACCAAAGGCAGGCTCACCTATGACCCCACCAACCCAAGATCGCACCAAGCCCCAAGCCCTACCCTGAACCATCCACCCAGCACCTGGGGGCGTCCCCCTTCACCAGCTCCCCCAACCAGCTCCCACTGTCCCAACGGGGCGCGACCACGCGGCGCCGGGCAGCACATCGCTGCTCGCCATGGGCAGTGACGTGAGGGAGCCCTGGCAGCTCATTGTGGAGCCGGACGAGGCTGTCGGTTCGATGGGTGGACAGCTGAATCCAGCTAGGACATGCTAGGACATGTATTGTGGACCATCGTGGCTGATATGGTCAGTTTTCTTTACAAGATCTTAGTGGATGGGTTGGTTGCTGCGTTGCCTGGTTGCTAGATTCTTTGCTTGGTTGCTTCCCTGGTTCCTTGTGGGCTTGGATGTCGTCGAGGTTGGTTGCTTTGGCCCAAACTTCGGCGGACATGCGGGAGGTTTCCCAGCCCTTCTGGGAACAAACAACCGCGAAAACGGGAAGGGAAACGAAACGACTCGTTCAGGAACCCAGCAAACCACCCACCTTGGGAAAGGAACGTCTCCTGGGAAGGGAAAGCCTCATGGGGAAAAAAAAGACCCGTGGGAAGGGAAAGTACCAATCTGGAAAAGCAAAAGCTGGAGCCTGTGTAGAGCCGATGGCTTGTCGAGAATTACTTCGTTACCAAAAACCATGAGGGCACGAAGATGGAGAGTGTCTCCACTGGGTATTTCATCGGTCTGAAAACCTGAAGATTTCTTTTTAACTCGCTAGATTTCTTCGATGTCTTGACCGTTCAGAACGCCCAACACCGTTAGCTCGCCCCTCGGTGACACGGTCCAGGTGCAGAAGGAGATCTTAGCCCCACAAAGCTTGGAAGCCCTTCAAGCCTCTTTGGGCGTGGAGCCGGGGCAGGTCTTGCTCGCCAGGCATCCTCGCCATGACAGGATGTTCCTGGGCTCTAATTCATTCTATTTGGGCTTAAGATAGAGATCTAGCAGGACCGGTGGAGCAAGGATCGTTTTTGGAGTTGCACACGATGTAAGGATACATCTGAGGCAGAAGCAGAAGCAGAAGCAGAAGCAGTAGTAGTAGTAGTCGTCGTCGTCGTCGTCGTCGTCGTCGTCGTGGTCGTAGTGATAGTGGTAGTGGTAGTGGTAGTGGTAGTGGTAGTCGTAGTCGTAGTCGTAGTCGTAGTAGTAGTAGTAGTAGTAGTAGTAGTTGGTGGTGGTTCATTCATTTTTTATATTTTTGCTTTTTACATTCCTTCCGTTCAATCGCTCAGACAGAAAGCAAGAATTAAAGATGAATGAGGGAACAAAATTGATATAAGATATCATTTTATTTAAGTTTGGTCCATTATTTTCATTCATATCATCAAGAATTTTGGATAATGAAAATCTCTCTTAATAAAACCAAAATTATTGATGGGACAAAAGCCATGAAAACAAAAACATGTTTTATCTTTTATACGAATGAGTGCGAGAAAAGTGGACATTTTCACATAATTAAATGTTCTAGTCAGTTAGGGTTTTATTATCTGGCATTTTTTATCATGGGTTTCTTTGATCTAAACACTGCCAGCACTGCCAGATATAAACATGAAGAAGTCCCTACACACATCAGCTTATTTTTGTTCTTGTAGTTCTTCAACACCGCTGATGGTACGTGAGCAGGATGAAATTCTCAATAGCTTTCATAAACCTGCTGTCTCTGGGAATCCATCCCCTTTACATAAGTGATCGATAGGTGGGATGGATTCCTGGCCACATCTGGGCCCCTTCTTGGATCTGGGGCCCCCCCTGCTCTTGGCCTGGCGGTTGACCCACCTGAACCTGAGACACAGCTTATGATTGAGGATTCTTTCCGGTAGAATTAGAACTCTCTTTATGAAAAGGAACAATCCTATCATAAGTGGATAAGGGACAGGAGGTAGAACCAAAATTATTTAGGAAACCAGACGTTGATTTTGGACCTCTCTGTTCACCAACAGCTTACAAGGGATTGTATCATACCATTTAGCTCTTACAAAATAAATCCATTAATCTGGAATTATTTTGTACCAGAAGGTCCACCATTAATTTCAATAGTGTTTTGGTTAGAAATTAATGGTTCCTTGAGGAGGAGGAGGACGATGAGGAGGAGGAGGAGCAGCAGTAGCAGGAGTAGCAGGAGTAGGAGGAGGAGTAGTAGTAGTAGTAGCAGTAGTAGGAGTGATTGGAGGAATAGTACTACTAGTGGTGGTGGTGGTGGTGGTGGTGGTGGGACACGAGCGGATGCAACAGGACGCCGCCCTTTGGGGGATTGGACCCTCCGAATAACTGCGCACGCACATGAATTGGTCTGAGGAAACGACATGACCAGGCGATAAGCAGATGACAAGAACAGCCGGATATGGCTTCAACATGTTGAAACACATGTTTCAACACAGACAACGATGCCCCTCTCTCTCTCTCTCTATGGTTTGTCTCAACATGCAAGTCTATCCCCCTCAAACACCCCTGAACCGACTGAACAAGCACCAGATGCTCGAGGTACGTGGTGGAACGGCTGGAGCAAATCTCCACCGGGCAGCGTGTGGCGGTGGCCAGCGCGAAGAAGCGCATCTTCATCTCGGCTCAAGGGGTGAAGAACAAGGCCTGAAAAGTCAGCGAGTGGCGGCGGTCGGCATTTGGAAGGTGGTGGTGACGATTGCATGCTTGACACAGGACTATGACCTCCCTAGACCCCATACAGTCCACGCAGTTTTTCCATGAGACCTTTATGTCCATCCAGATGGTCATGAATTACTCTTAACCTGTGTTGCCCCCCAACTACTGATCAAAAAAACAAGACACAATATATTATCACAATATAGCTCAACTATTTATTTCTTGATAGAGAACTAAACATGTCTGAGAAGTTGTTTCTATCTATATATTAGGCGAGACCATCATTTGCCCCCTCTGTTGAGAAGCTCCCACCTTTGGCGATGGCATGTTCTTTTGCCAACGGTGCAGTGGTCACAATGACCCAGGGCTTGTTCGAACATCCCAGAAGCTCCATGGCACTGGCATATTTGCACCACATGGATCTCTTTTCCACCACCCCCATGTAGCTACATACATGTATATATATATATATAATATATATATATATATATATACATGGCTGTGGCTCAACACCTGGAGCCACTCACGCCTGAGGAGGCCTTGGTAGGTCGACTGCCAGTCCCGGCAAGCCGGGCCCATAGCCAGCCCCATTGGTCGGTCCGCATGGGCTGGACATGGGGTGTTTTTATCCGCTTCAAGCGAAAGGCGTCACTGGTGCTCCAAGGCACGCGGGTACATTCTCAGAGCCATAAAGATCAGGGGAAGGTGTGAAACCCTGCAACCGCGAACTGGGAGGGGCAGACCGATCTCACGTACCGGAAAACCGGAAACCCCACATCCGACGCATATACATCATACACGCACAGTCAACGGACACCGTTCCCGGAACGGCCGGACGCTCCCAGCTCGTCTCGCAGGCGGTGGTCTGGTACGCGGGCGCCACAGTGCAACAGATCGAGCGGGCCATTGCCAAGGCGGCGAACCTCGAGGAGGGCGCGATCGAGTTGCGTGATGGAGCCTTTGGCGATATTCTTTGGACCGTTGGTACGGTTTTTTTGGTTTCAGAAGACGGATATATAATTTGGGGAAGGTCGTGGTGTTTGGGATTAAAGTTTTTGCTGGGATGAACATGAACTTGCAAGCATTTGCAAGCTATGGTAGACAGGGGTTTTCCTTGGGTGGTATGGCTAGATTGTTTCCTAGTCTTCAAACACTCCCGTCGTAGTTTTTCACTGGGTGTCAGTGTAGAGTGGGACACAGCCAGTCGTGGTGCTTTTGAAAGAGATTCCGGGGAAGAGAAGATTTCTGGCCAAACAGAGCCTGATGAACCCGTGAGAGATGCCACCCACCATAGAACGAACAATCCAAAATGGTGAGCAGATCAACTC